GTCATCACCGATAAGTGCCCCGAGGGCATCGTGCTGCTGCTGCTGCAGGCCATCCTGGGCTCCATGGTCAACGCCTTCATGGTGGGCTGCATGTTCGTCAAGATCTCCCAGCCCAACAAGCGCGCCGAGACCTTGGTCTTCTCCTCGCACGCCGTGGTGTCGCTGCGGGACGACCGCCTCTGCCTGATGTTCAGGGTGGGCGACCTGCGGGACTCGCACATCGTGGAGGCCTCCATCCGTGCCAAGCTCATCAAGTCCAAGCAGACGCAGGAGGGCGAGTTCCTGCCCCTGGACCAGACCGACCTGAGCGTGGGCTTCGAGACGGGCGACGACCGCCTCTTCCTCGTCTCCCCCCTCATCATCAGCCACGAGATCGACGAGCGCAGCCCCTTCTGGGACGTCTCGCGCCAGCAGCTGGAGAAGGACGACTTCGAGATCGTCGTCATCCTCGAGGGGATGGTGGAGGCCACAGGTAACGGGGGGCTGGGGGCACCTCCTGTCCGTGGGGACTCTTCATCTCCATGGGGACATCTGCATGGAGACACCTCATCTCCATGGGGACACCTCCATGGACATCTCCACGAGGACATCTCCATAGGGACACCTCGTCTCCACGGGGACATCTCCATGGGGACACTTCATCGCCATGGGGACATCTCCATGGGGACACCTCCATGGGGACACCTCGTCTCCATGGGAACACCTCATCTCCATGGGGACATCTCCATGGGGACACCTCATCCCTGCCCCCACAGACACCTCATCTCCATGGGGACACCTCCATGGGGACACCTCATCTCCATGGGGACACCTCCATGGACATCTCCACGGGGATATCTCCACGGGGCCACCTCATCTCTGCCCTCACAGACACCTCATCTCCTTGGGGACATCTCCATGAGGACACATCAGCTCCATGGGAACACTTCATCTCTGTGGGGACACCTCATGTCCATGGGGACACATCAGCTCCATGGGGACACCTCATCTGCATGGGAATATCTTCATGGGGACTGACTCTGTGGAGATACCTTTGTGGGGACACCTCAATGGGGACACATCATTTCTTTGAGGACACCTCATCTCTGGGAGGATATCTCATCTCCATGGGGATACTTCCATAGGGGACACCTCATCTCCGTGGGAATATCTTCCTGGGGACACCTCATCTCCATGGGGACACCCCCATGGGAATACCAGTCTCTGTGCGTGTCCCACTTGTGTCCCATCGGCATCCCACCAGCCTCTCACCTGCATCCCACTGGTGTCCCACTGGTGTTCCACCACTGTCCCATGAGTGTCCCATTGGTGTCCTACCAGTGTCTCACCAACCTCCCACCACTGTCCTATGGGCATCCTATCGGCATCCCACCAGTGTCCTATGGGCATCCCCAGTGTCCCACCAGTGTCCCATGAACATCCCACCAGTGTCCTATGAGCATCTCACCAGCGTCCCACCAGTGTCCCATGGGCATCCCCAGCGCCCCACCAGTGTCCCATGGGCATCCCCAGTGTCCCACCAGTGTCCATGGGCATGCCACCAAAATCCCACAAACATCCCACCAGCATCCTATGGGCATCCCCAGTGTCCCCCCAGTGTCGTATGAGCATCCCACCAGAGTCCCATGAACATCCCACCAGCATCCTATGGGCATCCCACCAGTGTCCTATGGGCATCCCACCAGCCTCTCACTGATGTCCCACCACTGTCCCAACACTTTCCCAGGGGTGTCCCACTGATGTCCCACCACTGTCTCACCAACCATTGTCCCATGGGCATCCCACCAGTGTCCTATGGGCATCCCACCAGTGTTCTCCTAGTGTCCTATGGGCATCCCCCCACTGTCCCATGGTCATCCTACCAGTGTCCTACCAGCATTCCATGGGCATCCCACCACTGTCCCATGGGCATCCCACCACTCTCCCATGGGCATCCCCCCAAAATCCTATGAGCATCTCACCAGTGTCCTATGGGCATCCCACCAGTGTCCTACGGGCATCCCACCAGTGTCCCATGGGCATCCCACCACTCTCCCATGGGCATCCCCCCAAAATCCTATGAGCATCTCACCAGTGTCCTATGGGCATCCCACCAGTGTCCTACGGGCATCCCACCAGTGTCCCATGGGCATCCCACCACTCTCCCATGGGCATCCCCCCAAAATCCTATGAGCATCTCACCAGTGTCCTATGGGCATCCCACCAGTGTCCTACGGGCATCCCACCAGTGTCCCATGGGCATCCCACCAGCCTCCCACCAGGATCCCCTTAGTGTCCTGCTGTTGTCCCACCACTGTCCCATGAGCGTCCCACTGATGTCCTACCAGTGCCTCACCAACCTCCCACCAGCATCCTATGGGCATCCCACCAATGTCCTGTGAGCATCCTACCAGGGTCCTACCAGTGTCCCATGAGTGTCCCACCAGTGTTCTATGGCCATCCTACCAATGTCCCACCAGCAGCCCCCTCCTAGTGTCCCACCGCTGTCCTATGAACATCCCACCAGTGTCCCACCGGGATCCCCTTGATGTCCTGGTGGTGTCCCACAGTGTCCTATGAACATCCCACCAGTGTCCCACCGGGATCCCCCTGATGTCCTGGTGGTGTCCCACCAGTGTCCCATGGGTATTCCACCAGTGTCCCACCAGCCTCCCACCGGAATCCCCCTGACGTCCTGGTGGTGTCCCCGCAGTGTCCCATGGCCATCCCCAGCAGTGTCCTTGATGTCCTGGTGGTGTCCCACAGTGTCCTATGAACATCCCACCAGTGTCCCACC